GAGCTGTCAATCAACCTTATTCACTCACTGCTAAACGTGCTAATGGCCGAGAAACAACTTATCGTTACAGGAAAACCGTTTATCCCCTGTCATTGAGATAGGATAGAGTTGGACACTGACAAACGGGGTCAAATGAAGTAATATGAGCTTCTGTGTCTGCTATGGCTTTTTGTGGACACATTTATAGTTTTACAAACATCACCGAGGGATATTTATAATGACATGAGTAATCATATGAGGTAGGTCACCTTATTTGCCTTCTATTGAATTCAACAATGCACTAGAATCAACACGACCTCATTTCAAGAACACATGTGCACCATGCTGCCTTGCCTGTAGAGCACACTTGTTCTACTCGTATGAATGACCGGTTTGTTAATACAAAAAAATGGCTATTGAGACTTTTATTCAAGCCCTGATTAAAATTTCCCCTGTGTTTAATTAGAATATATTTGCCACACTTGAAAAGCGGTTGTCGCTGGCTGAGGCCCAGGAGCTCAACAGGATTGTTTTAGGTCCATTGAACCCTGGCGCACATGAAGAGGATGGCAAGAGCTGTTTTGTAGTGTGTAAATATTTGCACCTATGAAAAAAAAAACCTCAGAATTGTTTTCAGATATTGCCATAAGGCCCTATGGTGAGTTTATCCAATATAGTCATAATTGTGGGGTCAAACAGCAGGTCAGATTGCTACTCTGTTTTTAGGGATCTATGTGTCTTAAATCATGCAAATGTTGATGTGATTTGAAGAACCAATTAAAACATGCATGAAGTACACAATCACACCAGTTGAACCAAGCTGCAGAACTTGTGCATAAACTTCTAAACTCCAGCTTTTATTTACATTGAGCTATTCGACTCAGTCTATAGAATCACAAGTGTTTTCTTTGCCCTTTTAAATGCAGAACCAGCTTCATACACCAGCATAAGAGTAACTAAATAATTTGGAAGTGGCAAAGCCACTCACAAAACACAAAATTCCACAATTATCTCTAAAAACCACAATTAACTTGCTCGAAAAACAATATCAAATCAAATTTTATTTGTATAGCACATTTTAATAGCAAGGCATTTCGGTAACACTTTATTTGAAGGGGG